CGTTTCGGAGGGAAACATCATTGCAGACCCTGATATTACCCGTACAGGCTCTAGACTCAGACTGGTTGGACTGGTACCGGCCTAGACCTACCCTACTGCTACTGGACTCTAAAAATGCCAACTTTATCTTTTTTCTGCTCGGCCTCCAGCACCCCCTCACGCCAACTGCATTGGGGTGCAGTATCGGCCTACCGGCCTACTTGAGTGTTTTTCCGCTACCCCAAGGGCCTCAGAGCCACTAGCTTCGCCACTTGAGTGTTTTCCCTGCTACAACCCTCAATGCCACGGCCACAGGTAAGTACCGGCCCTACGGGCCTACCAAACAAGCAGGTACCCTTGCGGGTCTCACACACACTCATACCAACAAGCACTCAGCCAGGCATGGAGGTCACAAGCACGCACACACAGACAGACTTAGAAACACAGCAGAATGCGGGAATCTCAACAAGGCATCCATTCCATCGGTAGAACTTCAGAAATCAGCGGTGTTCTCAGTCTGTGTTTTGACGGGTCATTACACTACCCCCCCCTCAAGAGCGAGGTCCCTTCGAGCGAGTAACTCAATCAGAGTCCTTGCATAATGCATCATAGGCGTAGATAGCAAAGAGAGATCGGTTGTGTTCGTAGGAGTCAGGGTAGCAGTGAATTTTGGTTGCTGTTCAGAACTGATCAATCGTTCATAGGCGTTAACAACGCGAGGTGCACTTTGCAGTAGGTCTCTCTTAGCGATCCAGTAGAAATCATTCAACGGGTGGTACAGAAAATGGACTGTATACTGTCTGTTTCTTCCCTTCCCACTGTGTTCCACAATCCTATCAACCTCATGACCGCCATTGATTGCGCGGGGAATCATCGATTCTCGATACTTGAAAGTTTCGGGTGATTCATACGGAAACAACTTTGATGCGTGAAAGACTGGATATGTGCGTAGATGAGCAGGCACATCGATCGTATAGGAAGGGCCAAAGGAATCACTCCCTACCTGGTTGAACACCTTCCATGGACCGTAATACTGAGGAAGAAGCTTTCGTGATACACCTTCTTCTTCAGAAAACTCAGACATTTTGACCCAGACATAACTTCCCACTGTGAATGGTGCAGGCGGCCGCTTCTTCTTAGCGTGTTTAATCATGGCACTGCGTCGTTGTTCCATAGCTGGGACAACAACCTTGAGCAACCGATCATACTTAACGCTGTAGCTTGGCTGGCCAGGTGTCAGACCAGGAGGCTGTTCAGGGAACAGGTAGGATAGAGGATTGCGAATTTTCCATCCAAGATGCAGTCGGTTCGACGTCATCCCGGTGGAGGAGTGGATGGAGTTGTTGTACAACCCTTGCACGATCGGCAATTCCTCATCCCAAGAGTTCTGTCAGGCACAATTAAGGCTCGGAGAAGTTGGATCACAGTCTGGTTGATCTCCTCGGCCAATCCATTAGCTTCGGGATGTCGACCAGATGTCATCTTGAGTTTCATGTCATAAACCTGGGAGGTGAAGTCCTTTCATTCTGCGCTTATGAACCTAGTGTCCCGGTCACTCACAAGAGTTTTCGGGGGCCCACACTGCAGAATGTATCTTTTGTGAAACTCTTTGATCACAGGTCAGTTGGGGCGTGAGGTGGTAGTGGGATTAGATTCAAAAACTTCGAAAAACGATCGACAATCACCATAACTTGGGAATAACCGTTTCTGCTCTTCTTCCCCATGTCCGTGAAGTCAATAGAAACAGACTCCCCCGGACCGTCAGGAATAGGAAGAGGGTGCAGCAGCCCATAAGGCTTCTGCCGAGATGGTTTAATGCATTGACAAACTTCACACTCAGCCACAAACCTTTGCGCCATTCTTTTCATACCAGGCCACACAAACTTTTCCAACGGATTCCCGTATGTCTTCTCAACACCGAAATGTCCACTCCAGCCATGAGCCAAATCCAAGAAATGAGTGATGATTGGCTCATGGTTGGGGTACACACAACCGGTCATGCATACCGTAGCGTCGAAAGAGAAGGCCCTTACATTCATGGAAATCAGGCTGACTGCTAGGGTCAGCCCGAATCTGCTCAAGGATGGGACTGAGTTCCGGGTCCTTGGCAGTATGCTCGATGAGTTTCTCCTTCAGATCTTTACACAGGTCGTAGGAACCCACAAGGCAAGTCGTATACTCGGGGTGGCGAGACAAAGCATCCGCAACACGATTATAGCAGCCTTTCTTGTGTTTGAGTTCAAAATCATACACATCAATCTCATGCAGCCATCGGGTCAATGTGGTTGATGGGTTAACCTGTGTCTAAATCCATTTCATGGTCTCATGGTTTGAGAACACTTTGAAATGGTGACCCAAGAGGTAGTGTTTCCAATGGTCTAGTACCTCTCTCAAGGCATAGAGCTCTCTCATGTAGGTGGAAGCGGCTACCTTGTGACTGGGCATGCGTTTGCTGTAGAATTCAAGCGAACGTAAGCCATCACCGTCATCTTGCTGCAGCACCGCACCAATCCCATACAAACTTGCATCCGTAGTCACTACGAATGTAAGCTTGGGATTTGCAATGCGGAGTACCGGATGACTCACCAAGGCCTCTTTAAGTGCTTCAAAGGCTGTCGTGCATTCTTCATTCCATGTGTAGGACACATTCTTGCTTGTTAGCTTAGACAACGGACAAGCGGTGATAGAGAATTTAGGCACGAACTTATGGTAGTACGATGCAAGACCAAGAAAAGAACGCAACTCGCGGACATTCGCAGGTTGAGGCCACTTTCGGATGACTTCAACTTTGGTTGCCTCGGGCTTTAGGCCTGCAACAGACAACCGATGTCCAAGGTAGATGACGCTATCCCTCCCAAACTCAGATTTCTCCAAGTTGAGATGGAGCTGCGCGTCCTTGAGGATCTGCATCACTTCCTCAAGGTGCCTCATGTGCTCCTCCATGGATTTGCTGAAGATTAGTATGTCATCCAGATATACAACAACAAATCGATTGATCTGAGTGCGAAATACTTTATCCATGAGACTTTGAAAGGTGGCTGGCGCATTCGTGAGACCGAAGGGCATGACTGTAAACTCGTACAGCCCATCGCGAGTTTTGAATGCGGTCTTGTGCTGGTCTGCAGGTTCGACTTCAATCTGGTGGTAGCCAGACTTGAGATCGATCTTGCTGAAGACCTTGCATCCACCTGCAACATCGAGCAGGTCATCGATACGTGGCAAAGGATATGCATTCTTTCTTGTGATTCTATTTAATCCGCGGTAGTCAATACACATCCGCTGTTTGCCTCCTTTCTTAGGGACAAACAACACTGGTGCACCAAATTCAGACTCACTGGGTTTGATCCATCCCTTCCCAATCATCTCATCAATCTATCGTCGCAACTCCTCCAATTCGCCTGAGCCCATTCGATAGACACAACCTTTTGGAGGGGTGCTACCTTCAATCAACTCGATTTTGTGCCGGACCGGTCGCACGGGAACTCCATGCGGTTCGACCAAGACCTCAGGGAACCGGTTGAGAAGGTTGCGGATTTCCGGTGGGATTTCCGGAGGGGGATCATCACTCTCAGGAGCCAGCATACCAGATTGCATAGGTGCAGCCAAAACAACAAAATTAGAAGTAGAGTCATTTGGACTAGAGATAAACTTAGTAGAGGTAGAAGTAGTTGCCTCCGAGGTGGAAACAACATGCAAAGTAGAATCATTATAAACAGCAAAAATAGAAGGCACATGAGCAGACCTAACAAAGGCTATATACATTTGCTCATCAGTTTTGCGCATGCGCCACTTTTTGCAGCATTGCATTGCATTGAGAAAGGTTACTTGGGACTTGCGCGGCTCATCCAAAAGGACTAGACGCTCGATTCCCATGGCATCTTTGACCATGAATTGTGAGTCCTTCCACGTGGTTCTTTCACATTGGGCCTGCAACCAGCCCAAGCCAATAACCGCGTCGAAGGGGCACTGATCAAGGACATAGAAGTTCAATTCATGCGTGATTGTGCGGTCAGCGTCAAAGGTAGTGCGCACAACTTTGACTGCATGCGTAGATGTGACAACCTCTTGGTTGCCTACTTGGGTCCGACAAGGATTCTGCAAAGTCACTTGCTTCATCCCCAAGCGTGCCTTACGAATGCCGTGCGGTGAGAAGTAGTTGGCGGTTGCACCACAATCAGCCAACGCACGGATGTAATGGCCATTAATGTGGAGTTTGAAGAAAATCAACTTCGTTCTCCCTTTCGCGCGTTCTTGCTTCATGTGAGCCCAACGCGTCAACAGAGAATGGAAGTCAATTTCTTCTGACTCTACCCAAGGCTCCTTGTATAGGATGTGGATCTTCTCAGCCTTGGAATCAGCATGAGATGGGGTTTCAGGAGAGGTTTGCTGAGTGGGATCAGAATCCAAAGAAGAATCTGTACTTACATGTTCAGCCTCTCCATCAGTAGAGTGTGCTGATGATGCCTCTACCCCCGTTGCTGGTTTCCCTGCTGCAATCTGAAACGGTGTTGGACTGAATGTCCCGGTTTGGTGCAATGCAGGCAAACTCCTCTCTTCACCCTGTTCTTCCACTCACTTTCACTAATCCGGAGATCTACCCATGGTTTTGTGGCAGGATCTTCCGGTTTTGGTGGAATCTTTGCTCCCTTGGGAAGAAGGATAGTGTTAGTGTTGTTCTTCATCGTGGTCCTCGGTCCCTTACTTTTGAAGGCAGTCTTTTTAAAGGCATTCATAGATTCATCGTCATTTATACACTCAGACTCATCGGCTGACAAAGAGCAAGATGCCCCKCAGTCTTGCTCTTGATCGTCATCAAGAGAAGATTCATCCACGAGGGTCTCCTCGTCAGCCTCAAGCAGATCATGTGCTGCAAAACGGTTGCTGCCTGGAAACCGTTTGCGGCCAGTGGCCTTTTTGCCACTTGATCCACCCGGGAGGTCTTGTGCCTCCAACTTGACTAAGTCCCGCATGAGGGTAAGCCAATCTATGTATCCGCTGAGCCCGAGTCCTAGGCGATCTTTTAGAGTAGAGGGGACCGTACCTTTTATCACATCCAGACAAGACTGCGCAGTCATCTCCAGATTCGGAGTAGCAAAGAGTTTACTCACATACTGCGGCAGGTTGTGCATGGTGCCGGTCCACTTGCTGTGCTTGAGCTTGTCAAGCTTGAGTCTTGCCTTAGGTGCAACATGTGGATCATCATATTGCTTGATCAAGAGATCCTCAAGTGCGGCAGTAGGCGTAGCCTTTTGCCATTTGTTCAGGTCTATTCTCTTATAGCCTGATTGGACAGTTTGGGTTTCTAGGAAACCCCGCACGACGGGCTCCACATTGGTCCCCAGGATAGACGATTGAGTGGACGGGGGTGTCCCCAATACATCAAAGTAGGATCGCATGGAGCTGATCCAAGACTCAACGTCGTCCTTTCCGTCATACTTGGACGGAATCTGCACCGCCTTCCTGTCGATGTAAGCAAAGCTGCCGCCTGGCCCAGCCATTGCTGGGTCCGGGCCCGGGGCTGCAATAGTTCCAGAATTCCCTGCACCACCACTTGCTGCTGCGGCAGCAGCAGCAGCAGTAGCAGCAGTGGGGTCTGGACCTGCTACAGATCCGGATTGGCTGTTAGCCACACTCAAGGATGAAGAAGAAGTTGAAGAAGACACATTTAAAGGGGCAAAAACATACTGACACGCAGCACTAGAAGCAAGGTAGGTAGATGGAAGGGTGCTTTGGGCTGGCTGCACATTAGCAAGCTGTTGCAGCTGGTCACGGTGCTGTTGCGCCATCAGGGCCATGTCCTCGCGCAACTTCTTACTTTCATCGAACACTTTGGCGAGTTGGCCAGTGTGGTCCTCAACAGTCCGGACATCCACCAAAGCCCGGAGGAGTGGAACGGTTTTCTCTTCCACCTCCTCATCGGTCAGGGCAGGCAAGGTACAGAAAATGGCTTCATGAGCCTTGACCTTCTCCTCCCTCTCCTTCTCTTTCTCTTCCTCCTCCCTCTTCAATGCTTTCTCATAGAAGAACCGGTACTGCGCTTTCTTTGCCTCAGGGGCAGCGTCCATTTTCAGCTTCCAATCCGCTGCAGATGCCATGATGGAGGATGAGGGTGTCAATAAGTTTCTCAAGAGAGGTCCGTACTTCCTCACTTGCCTGGGACGAACACTCCTCTTCCCTCTCCTCACTCCCTCAAGAGCAACACTCAGAAGCTTTTCTCTTCTCTCTCTCTCTCTCGTGTGCGATCGTGTAGACGCAGGCATTAAAGAACCCAATGAAAGAAACAGCTTGAAATCATTAAGAAGAGAAGGTAGAACTCCTAGCCGGAGCGGCAAAGCAGTCAAAACAGCAAAAAAAGAAAAGATCAGAGAGATCTGATCCAACCACACAGTCTGGACTGACTACGTATGGGGTCCTCCCAAGCCTAGCCAGCCTCAACTCCATGAAAACACAACAAATCAGAATCAAGATGTACAGTGAAATGCAAGAGAGAATTGAGTGGTGTATAAGGTGCGAGTCAGGCGGCGGATTGCGCGGTAAAGTCTAATAAAACGTCCCAGCGGAGATCCCCTCCGCAGCGAGTGTCCTGGTCCAAAAGCATAAAGTCCATCTCCCAATCAGACAGAGCAAGGTAACTGACGTCGACAGATTTGGCCTGAGGGGCCCTTCTTGTTTGGGCCCGGTCCCACTGAGTCCCAAATGGTCCCAGTGGAGTCAGAACCGGGTCCCAACCAACAAGAGTTCCACGGAGACCTACTCTGTCCCTACTTGAATTGAAAAACGAAATTTTGCCCCAGAAAGAACCTGTAGACTACCGCCGTTCAGAATGAAATAAACAAAGCACTGTAGAAAGATATCACATGGGAAACAAGATACTCCATTCATTCACTCATCAGGCGAGTAGGCAGTTCACACACCTCACACACAATCAAGACTATGGAGGATGGAAAAAGAACCCAGAGAACCCCAACAGGCAGTCAATTCCATGCACACACACATGGGCACCCTGGTGGCACGGCACCTACCTGAGTGGCCGGGCTCTTGAGATGAAAAGAACTCACCCCCCTCTCACATAGTCCTCCTGACCCAATTAGCATCCTCTACACTARTGTCCTATCATCTAGGAGGGTCAACATCTACCCCAAAGTACAAAGCCGGATCCCCCGTCAATGTTGAAGATCAAAGCAGCAACTTGCAGTCCGTAGGT